AAAAAAAAAAAAAAGTGTGCTCCTCAATCTCTGACCCTACCAGTAGAAGTAAAAAGGCTCAAAACCTCATCATGTCTTGGCCCAGCTTAGTCATCCAGCCCCCTGCCCCAGCCCCGCCTCCCCCTCCACCCAGGCCTGGCTTCCTGGCTTACAGGCTGGGACCCGCCTTCTGAGAGGCTGTTCTTGCTCCAGTATCTGAGCCTGAATCGCCTCCAACAGCATCAGCATCATCTCCTTCATTTTATAGGACAGAAACAGACTCAGAGGCAGGCTGTGATGTGCCCAAGGACACAATTAATGGTGGGGGGTGGGGGTGGAGAGGGTAAGAAACCCTTGTTCTTTGCTCCCTACACACACCAGAACCAGCTGTGCTCATAGTCACAGGTGAAGCAGGATTCCAGCTTCAACCTCCTCCCAGACCAGAGGAGGGAGGAAGCAGCGGGAGTAAACTAGAGAAAAGGGCTCATGAAGGTCAGGGTAGGGGGAGTTTTCTGGCTGGACCCTGAACTCTCTGCCCTGGGGCCTGATTCTGCCACCACTACCCTCATTGCACACAACTGTCTGGGAAACAGCTGCTGATTTAGCTGTTTAGGGGTGTTCATCTATTGAAACCTCTTCTCCTCTCTCCTATCCCACATTTGGCCCTGCTGAGGTTTTAGGAGAGGTGATCCCTAGCCTGGGAAGGGCAAATTCAGTTGCCCCTTAGAGAGTGTCAGTCCCTGCCCAAGATGCTGGAAGCGGCCCACTCACCAACACCCAACTCTCACTGTCCACCAAGCTAGATGGACAGTTACAGTCCAGCAAAGCCCATAGAAATGACCCACAGGCACCAGTCCAGGTCAGCTCCTGACACGCCCTATCTCCACACAGCTGTGGATCATGCCTGCCTTCGGGGCCCGCCCTCACTTCAGCAACATGGTGGAGGTCAACTTCTACGGCTACTCGCTCTGGGCAGCCATCGTCAATATCTGCCTGCCTTTTGGCATCTTCTACCGCATGCATGCTGTCTCCAGCCTGCTGGAGGTCTATGTGCTATCCTGACACCACTGACAGAGACGTGGGTGGAGTAGCAAGAGGGCGGTCAGCTCATGTGCCCCCTTAAACCCCCCTCCAGGAATGAACCTGAGCTGGAGCCACATCGCCCCATCTCCCACCCATCTCCTGCTAGTCACAGAGTGGAGTTTTCACAAAAGTTATTTTTCCAGGACGAGTTTTTAAATCACAACCAGGACATGACTGTAGACCCTAGCTTGGCCCTGGCACAGGCAGAGCTTAGGAGAGAGGGGCCTCTCCCGGCCACCTTTCTAGGGCCAAGTGAGATCCGGAAGTGGCGTGAGCTTCATCCCTAATCTCAGCCCTATGGTCTGGCCAGTGCACTGCCTGGAGCTGAGAACCAATAAACTTGTGATTTGTCCCTATACCCCACTTGTTGTCTCAGTCACCTCATCTGAGATGATCACAGGAAAGGATTTTGGGAATCAGAGGTGGAAGGACCTCTGGAGATTTTTAGGCCTCAAGCTTTTTGGTGGGTACCCCAACTCTGAGCTACAGACCAGCTAAAAAGTAGATAACTGGGTGGCTGAGAGTAGCGAGAGTAGCTGGACGGCTTCCCAGGCTGCCACCTTCCTCTTCCCTTTGCCTCCAGGTGATGTGCCCACATGATCATACTTTTTATGTGTCCCATGATGTGAGAAAGGTTAGGAAGTACTGGTTCAGCGCCTGTAACACAGTGGTTGCAGTGCCAGCCACATACACCAAGGCTGGTGGGTTCAAACCTGTCCCATGCCAGCTAAAACAACAATAACAACTGCAACAAAAAATAGTCACTTGGGCGGTGCCTTTGGCTCAGTGGGTAGGGCCCTGGCCCCATATACCGATACTGAGGGTGGCAGGTTCAAACCTGGCCCCAGCCAAACTGCAACAAAAAAATTAGCCAGGCATTGTGGTAGGCACCTGTAGTCGCAGCTACTCGGGAGGCTGAAGCAAGAGAATCACCTAAACCCAGGAGCTGGAGGTTACTGTGAGCTGTGACGCCACAGTACTCTACTTGAGGGTGATAAAGTAAAACTCTATCTCTAAAAAAAATAATAATAATAACCGCTTGTTGGGGCAGGCACCTGTAGTCCCAGCTACTTGGGAGGCTGAGGCAAGAGAATCGCCTAAACCCAAGAGTTAGAGGTTGCTGTGAGCTATAACACCATAGCACTCTACCAAGGGTGACATAATGAGACTATGTCTCAAAAAAAAAAAAAAAGGTTAGGAAGTACTGACCTAGTCTAATGTCCACATTTCACAAAGAAGGAAACTGAGGCCCAGAGGAGTAAAATGATTTGTCCAAAGTCACACAGCTACAGTAAACTAGACCCTTTTTAATAAGCACAATTTTCAGGCTAGGTGCCATGGCTCACATCTATAATCCTAGCACTCTGGGAGGCTGAGGCAGGAGGATTACTTGAGCTGAGGAGTTCAAGAGCAGCCTAAGCAAAAGCAAGCTCCTGACTCTACTAAAAATAGGAAAATTAGCTGGGCATTGTGGTAGGCACCTGTGTTCCTAGCTACTCAAGAGGCTGAAGTAGGAGGATCACTTGAAAACAGGAATCTGAGGTTGCTGTGAACTGGGCTGATGCCACTGCACTCTGCCTGGGTGACAGAGTGAGATTCTGTCTAAAAAAAAGAACAATAACTTTTTTCCCCTTGAATAAAAGATTGCAGGAACCCAAGTTTATAACACAAGTATAAACAGAACAGTTCTAGAAGAGTTGGGGGGCTCCAATCCTCACTGCCTGGCCTCCCTTTACTCCCTCTCCTTTCCGGGGGTCTCTGAGAAGTTTCTTCAAAGCACTATGGCTTGGACTCTACACAGACAGACTTGGGAGGGAGGGAGCCAAGGTTAAATGGGTCAGAACAATTGAAAAGAGGGTTGGCAGCTAGAAGAGGAGGAATTGGTGGCCAGCCAGTGTCAGGGAAATGAGAAAGGGCTGGGGTAGGACTAGAGTGGGAGCAGATGGCATTTGGGGGGAAAGTGTGAGAATAGTAGCATCTGGAGCCTAGGGGACTTCAGAGGAAAATGTGCCTAGACCTTGTCAGCAGAATGAGGTGAGGAGGTTTCAGACGCCGCAGGGGGAGCGGAGAAGGGTCAGAGGGCTGCCTCTCCCAACCCCTCACCCTGTATGAATGGGACTATGCCGGTGTCTCCTTTGCCCCAAGTCCAGGTTTGACTTAAGGGAGCCGGAAGGTCCTGAAAAGCTGCATCCAAGCCAGGTGCTAGGTAGTACTGGAAAAAGGAACCTATACCTGAAAGTGGGGATGGGGAGTCCATTCCCAGTTCGAGCACCAGAGGGTCTAAGTAGGCCTGACCACTGCAAGCCCTTTAGTGCAGGCTGAAGGACCCTGCACCCTACTCAACCCCACTTGGAAGCCGGGCTCCCCACCTGCCCCCGACCTTAAGCCGGCCGCGCCCCGCCTCCCGCCCCGCCCACCCATCCAGCAGCTTCTCTATTGGCCACACCGTCTGGGCCTGAGCCCCCGGCGGGGTAATTAACGAGGGATTAATGAGATTTCCAAAGTCAACAGAAAAATCGATGGGCCCGGGAGCCCGAGCGGCGGCTGCGCAGTCCTGCGGGGGAAGGGCGTCGGGGGCATCGGTCCGGGCGCGGGAGCCTCACCTGGACTGACGATCAGCGCTGCGCCCGCAGTCGGCGGTCAGTAGGCGGCAATGCCTGCCCAAGCCTCAGGTAAGGCTCCCTGGCACCGCAGCTAGGCCCGCCCGGGAGCGCCCTCGGACCCCGGGCAGACATTCCCAGATAGCTCACTCCCGGACGCTCAGACATACTCCATCCCCCAAAAGGGAATTCACGAACCAGGGCCCCCAGAGTTTGGAGCCAGAGGCCGGTGATTGGAGAGAGGTCAACTCCTATGGACCTGAGGCTGGCCCCTCTCTGCCCTCCACCCCAATCCCGGCTCTGTGCCCCACCTCCGGACTGGGGGGCACGAGGAAATCAGGAGGGCCAGGTCCAAACCACCTGAAGGAGGCTCCGAAGCCCAGAGGAAGTGAGAAACCAGATGGCTGGTTTTTACAGGGTGCAGGGATGGTTGGGGCTACCTGGTTGTCTGGTCTGGGGCATGTTACTTTCGGCTGCCCTGCAGTACCTAGGGTGTCTGGGAAGGAGATCTCAGAGCTGCCTGGCCAGCTCTGCAGCCTCCTCGGGAGCTGGCCCTAAGCTCTGGGCTGGGCACTGCGCCCCGATGGCTCTGCGGCTTTCATCACCTGCCTCTAACTGCGACCCACAAACCAGTTTGGTGTCCGGGCCCTCCCTTGGACTGGCATAGTGCCAAGGGGTGTGCCAGGGGGTGGTGGACTCCTCTTTGTCAGTTCCTGGCACACTTGCCCTAACCCTCGTCCTGCACCACTGTGTGCCCACCCCCGGCCGGGCCCAGCAGTGGGCCACATTCACTCCTTTGATGGCTTCCTCCAGCGGCCATTGGAGGGTTGGACACAGGTGGTGTGGGGGAGAATGTCAGTGCAGGGACCTGGAATCTTGTCCTTCAGTGTCCCCTCTAGGCCTACAAAAACATCCCCTGAAATTCGCCAATAATCCCAACCCTCCCCACCTCTCCAAGATCTGGAAATTAGAAGAAAATGCACAAGTAACTAAAACAGAGCTTTCTGTATGTCAAGCACTGCTTTACATGTGTTTACATGTATATAATCATTTAATTTTGACAACACCCCTATGGATATAGGTATTATACATTAATTTCTTCATCATTTGTTAAAGAAATCTTTGCTGAGCATCTGCTGTGTACCAAGTACTATTCCACAGTTGTGTGTTCATTTTACAGATGAGGACAGAAAGGCACAGAAAGTCTGAGCAGCTTGTCGGGGACCACAGAGGTAGTAAGTGATAGAGGCTGGGTCCTTGATCATTACATTATGTGTATCCTGCTTATGTGAGGTGGAGCAGTCAGGCCTGGGAGAAACAGAGCAGGCAGGCATTCAGTGAGCCTCAGCCTTGCTCAACCTGGGTGGGGGAGCCTGGGAGGGGGAAGATCAAGATCATCTGGACAGCCTCCTGGGGCCAGCATGGAAAGGGTTTAATGGTAAAAGTCTTTGTCCGTGGCTCTGGTGCTGAAAATTCCCAGAAGCTTCCAAAGTCAGTGAGCAAACACTGAGTGTCTCACCTGTGCTAGGTTTGGGGATTCCAAGTTAAGCAGGACCTGGTCTCTGCCCGGGAGGAGTGTTCATCCTTGAGAGGAGCCAGCCACACCCACAGCACACCCGACACAGCACGCCCACTCTTTGCAGGCACCAGCACACAGAGGCAGAGGGGAAGGCTGCCTAGGTGGGTGCTGAGGATGGGTGCGAACCACCAGTGGAGCCGGTGGGTTAGTCCGAGGGAAGAACAGTCTCCAGGGAGCAGGAGGCAGGGGCAAAGCAGAGCTCTCTGCCTGGGCCTAGATGAGTGTGGGGCAGGTGTGGTGAGGGGTATGGACAGGGAGGGTGCAGAACTTGGGCAAAGATGACAGGGTGGACTGGGAAAAGGCAAAAAATCATTTATAAAATCTTGAAAAGAGGCCCGAACGTGAGTAGCACTCCTTCTGCCCCAGAATAAAAGCAAGAAGATACAGGCATGGAGCAGGTAGGGGCACATGGTAGAACGTGGCCCAGAGTGGCTGCATTTCAGAGCCACACATGGTGATTGTGTTCCAGTGGTTGCACAGAGGGCAAGTCTGAAGATCCTGAAGCTCACAGTCTCAAGGGAAAGAGGGAGAAAGCCACAGCCCATTAAAACAGAGTGTGTTTCTGGCCAGGTGCAGTGGCTCACGCCTATAATCCTAGCACTCTGGGAGGCCGAGGTGGACAAGACGCTTGAGCTCAGGAGTGAGAGACCAACCTGAGTAAGAGTAAGACCCCATCTCTACTAAAAATAGAAAAACTGAGGCAGGAGTATCGTTTGAGCCCAAGAGTTTGAGGTTGCTGTGAGACATGATGATACCATGGCACTCTACTCAGGGCAACAAAGTGAGACTATCTCAAAAAAAAAAAAAAAAGGCTCAGCACTTGTAGCTCCAGCAGCTAAGGCGACAGCCATGTACACCAGAGCTGGCAGGTTCAAATCCAGACCGGGCCTGCCAAACAACAGTGACAACCACAATCAAAAAATAGCCAGGCATTGTGGCTGGTGCCTGTAGTCCCAGCTACTTGGGACACTGAGGCAAAAGAATCACTTAAGCACAGGAGTTGAAGGTTGCTGTGAGCTGTGATGCCACAGCACTCTACCCAGAGCAACAGCTTGAGACTCTGTCTCAAAAAAAAAAAAAGAAAGAAAGAAAGAAAAGAAAA